GATTAATGAGTTTGGTGACCACTGGTCTAGAACAATAGCATTGAAAGATCAAACCTGCATTCATCCAACAAAGAGAGGTTTCCTGAGCCTGGTTTGCAAAGAGCAAAGATACTGTTGGTCTCTGACCTAAACAAAGCCAGTCTCAACAATTTTAGAAGCAGCATGAGAGCGGGTTCATATGATCCCAGGCTCGAGAGGAACAGGGTCATAGCCTGTCACTTAGGCCATCTTCACACACACACACAGATAAAGTCAGTATCAGCAGCAGCATCTTTAAAGAGCAGCTAACATCCTGTTGTCTTTGGCTGCTTTTCTCCAACTGGTCAAAAAGCTGTTCTCATAGCCAGTTATCTCACGGTGCCCATTTCCTAAGCATATTTAAAGGGTTGCTGTTTAAGCATATACTTCACATGATACCACATTTTCACAATCTTGAAGGCAGTGAAAATTAGACTGTCAAAAATATGTTTTACTGGGAGAGTTCTATAAACCGCCCTAGCCCATATGGCTCAGTGGACAGAACATTGGCCCACAGACTGAAGGGTCACAGGTTCAATTCTGGTCAAGGGCACATATCTCGGTTGCAAGTTCGATCCCCTACCCAAATTGGGGCACGTGCAGGAGGCAACAATCAATGTGTGTCTCACATTGATATTTCTCTCTGTCTCTTCCCTTCCCTTCCACTCCCTCTAAAAATCAGTGGAGCCAAAGCCAGTTTGGCTCAGTGGTAGAGCATCAGTCTGCGGACTGAAAGGTCCCAGGTTCGATTCCAGTCAAGGGCTTGTACCTTGGTTGCGGGCACAGTATGCAAGAGGCAGCTGGTCGATGTTTCTCTCTCATCGAAGTTTCTATCTCTCTATCTCTCTCCCTTTCTCTCTGTTAAAAATCAATAAAATATATTTTTAAAAAATAAAAATCAATGGAAAAATATCCTCATGTGAGGATTAACAACTACAACAAAGTTTTATAAACCAAGAGTCCTATGATCAAGATGACTTAATTGCAAAAACCCATCTTCTGACCCCTTTTCTCCAAGCTAAGTCTCTCTCATCTGAGCTCTCTCACTCACTAGCTCTAGAGCCTGAAGTAAGAGTCTTAATTTGTCAGGATCTCAATTTCTTTTCTAATTGTTCTCTGAGGTCCTTCCAAGATGTGCACATCTATGAAAAAAACATTAAATGGCTAAGTTCTGGTTGGTTTGTGATGGTTCCTAAGTCTACATTTAAATACTAATAATACAATGCAGATATATATATATATATCCTATATAATAAAAGCCTAATATGCTCAGTGTCTGGTTGTCTGGTCAGCTGTTCAATCAATCAATCGAAGTGTAATATGCTAATGATATGCTAAGGTCACTCAACCATTTGCTATGACATACACTGACCACCAGGGGACAGACAACCAGTTGACCATTCACTACGACATGCACTGATCACCAGGGGGAAGATGCTCTGACCGGAAGGTTAGCTTGCTGCTGGGGTCCAGCCAATTGGGACTGAGCGAGATGGGCCGGACACATCTTGGTACCCTCCTATGGTGCCTCCCGGCTGGCCAACCTCCTGCATCCCTCCCCAGCCCCAATTGTGCACCAGTGGGGTCCCTTGATCTGGCCTATGCCCTCTTGAAATCCAGGACCCCCTGAGAGTTTATCAGAGAGCCGGTTTCGGCCCAATCCGAAATCCCAAGCCGAGGGACCCCACTTGTACACAAATTCATGCACTGGGCCTCTAATATATATATATGTTACATGCCATGCACAGTTTGGTTTGAAAGGAACAGACTCTTATCTATGCCCTGCACACCGCATAAAGTGAAAGGGGGAAAAAGTCCAATGCCTAAGTAAACAAATGAATGGGAATATGAAAGGTACCGGGGAGCACGGTTGGGCATCAGATGGTAGGATGAGAGAGAAATGATAGCACAGAAACACTTAGATAGTAATGGAATGCTCCTGGCAAGGATTCATAATGTGGAAAGGCAGAAACAGCAACCAAAAAATATATAGTGAACCCCATCACTGGACTATTGGCTTCCTCTAAAAGCACCAATGCTTTGTTCAAGCCAAATTCTTCTCGGAAACTTTCAACTCCTACTTACTCTAAAACAAAAGAAAAAAAGGAAAGAAAAAAAACAAACAAAACAGCTTATTCCTTGTAATTTAAAGCCCAGGGAAGGTTGGAATCAGTGGGAGGCAAAGAGATCCACGCAAATATACGCACGTTCACAGAATCATGTCTGATGGGAGAGGTAATGAAGCACAGAGAATCCCAGGGCTGACAGGAAGTGGAATTACAACCACAAAAGCCAAGAACACAGTCAACAACTTAAAAAACTCCAGATGCACTCAGTTTATTAAAACTGAACACAAGTAGGGAGGGGGAAGAAGACCATGGGTGAGGACACGGACCTCAGAGGTATTCACAAAATCAGAGAAAGTCGCTGCTTACTTCACATCAGAACTTTGATAGCCATTAAGTATAAGAAAATCTTAAGCTTCCAAAAGGCAATCAAGCAATAAACCAAAATAGGAATGGAAACATTCAGAAAAGCTTGTGATTATTCTAGAACAAAGATTTTTTTACACCAAGAAATTTACCTTCACATAACAGCCAAGCAGATGTGGAAAAGAACCTTTATTTATTTATTTATTTATTTATTTATTTATTTATTTTCATCTAGTAATGTTTTTAAAGTTGGAGTTACAGTCCCTACGCCCTCTCTTCAAACAGTTTACAATAATTCTAAGAGCTCTAAGCCCTTATCAAATCACATTTATTATGAAGCCTACTGTCAGGCCACCAAAAGGCAATGAGAACAGGTACCAATCAGACATTCAACAAATATTTCTTGGAGGGGCAGAAATGAGGGAGATACTGTTGCTGTCCTCAAAGAGCTTCCGGTCCAGTGGGGGGGACAGACACATGACTGGGTACCAGGCAACATGCCAGAACCACTGCAGACTATGGACAGTGCTGGGGGTGGGGAGATTATCTTTGACTGGAGACTTAGAAAAAACTTCTCCAAAGGAGTGATACTTGACTTAGTCTTGAAAGATGTCATAACCTATTAGGTATTTCAGACACAGGATAAAGCAGGTGCAAAGGCAAAGGGTTTGGAAAGGACCTGGAGGTCCAGGGAGACTGTGTGGTTTGGTTTGGCAGAAAGAGGGTGAGAGGGGTAGGGAGACAGTGACTACTAAGAATTCATAAAGGCAAACTGAGAGATTACCGGGAAAGTGTATGTGTGAACAAAACACCGCAATATAATAGCAAAGAAACATAATGGAAGACGTGCACAACATAACATGAGAGAGGAGACACAGGGGGCATGTTGTTAGACTAGGATTCCTAGAACAGACAAGGTCGAGGTGAGTCTTAGAACATAAACAGGAATTGGAACGCAGGCAGGAGAATTTCCAAGCTGAAGAGCAGGCCTTACAGAGAGGCACAAGACACAGAGTGCTCAGTGGTATAATTACATTGCACGGTATAAGAAAGGAAACGGAATTCTAGAACAGCCAGCTGGGGTCAGATCCTTAGAAGCTTGAAGTTATATCAAGTTTGTGTTGATGATTAAAACTTAAGGAGCCATTTATGAGTTTTATAAGACATAAATATATTTGCACTTAGCCCAGCCGGCTTGGCTCAATGGTTGAGCATTGACCTATGAACCAGGAGCTCATGGTTCGATCATCAGTCAGAGCACATGCCTGAGTTACGGGATCCGTCCCCAGTGGGGGCATGCAGGAGGCAGTCGATCAATGATTCTCTCTTATCACTGATGTTTCTATCTCTCCCTCCCTCTCCTGTCCTCTCTGAAATTAAAAAAAAAAAGTTTAAAAATAAATAAATAAAAAGCTATCACAACCTCTTCTTTTCCTATATAATTTTAGGTCCTTGCTTATCTACCATCTTCTATTCAGTCTCAACACTTCCCTTGGTTCAGTGGCCCTAAAGTACATGATAATCCATTGAAGAAATCAAGAATTATAATAGCTAGTTATAAATAGAACAAAAAAACTGTCTATTAAGTACACAATAAAGGCCAGGCATGTGCCAAGTGCTCTGCGTGCACCGTCTCACTTGCTCTTCCTGGTACCCTAAGGAGGCAGTGCATCATCACTGCCACTTCATAGCTGAGGAACCGGAATTGGTGCAATTTGCTGAAAATCAGAACATTAGTAAGGGGGCCAAATGGGCCTCAGCCTACATCTCTCAGGCCCTACACCTGAAGGTCTTTGCTTTTCTGTTACCCTGCCTCCTACGCAAGCCATGACTTGCTACTGTATTACTTGAATTATCCCCCATCTATGAGCCTGTTGCGTTTTACTAACAAAGCCTAACACCTGCTGAAAGCCTGTGTGACTTGACTGGCAATCACTACGAGTTCACATCCACGCAGGAAACAAATGCTACAGCACCACCACTAGTGGGTCAGTCAGCAACAGGCTTCCTGACCCAATAACTGTGTCTCTCTCCTTCTCTGTGCAATCAGGGAGTTAGGGATGGCAGAGAAGAGGAGAGGAAGAGGAAGAGGAAGAGAATAAAGAAGGAGAAGGGTAGAGGAGGAACCCGCTGGAGAGAAGACTAAAACAAAAAGAAGGAGTCTTTGGAAACTGGGAGAAAGCACACACTGGTACCAGCCAGAGCTTCTTGGAACAGCTCCCAGTCTGGCTGCCAAAGAGCTCTGGAATATATTTGTTAGAGCTGGATTCCTGTACAGTCCGTTGCAGACTTTTTCTGATTGCACTCTGACAAAGAGATCTATACTTTAGTTCCAATCCCTGCTTCCCTCACAGAAAGCTAGTTCGTTCTCAGGGGACCTCCAACTAAGCTCACTATTGACCTCTTAGTAGGATCTTCACACGAAGTTAGAAAGGAATAAAAATCCACCACATACCTTACTCCTGCAGAATCACTCTTTACCCCAGGATCCCATCCCAACTTCCCAAACCCCTTTTTACAAAACACTTTAAGCTTCTTGAGTCTCCTTACCAAAACAACTGCTGCGGTGAGGAACAAAGGTTTTACAGGCTGTAGCAATAGCCAGCTCAGCAGAGATTATAGTCTTAATGATCAGGTCTTCTACATGGGCCATCAATGCTACAAAAAAAAAAAAAAGAAGAAGAAGGAGGAGGAGGAGGAGAAGGAGGAGGAGGAACACCACAATGCACAGATTAGAAAGACTGGATTCCAAAACACAATCCTATATAATAAAAGCTCAGCAACCAACCAGAAAGACCACTCAACCAATTGCTATGATATGCACTGACCACCAGGAGGCAGATGCTCAGTGTAGTCAGTGTGCTCCCATAGTGGGAGCAGCCACTCAGAGGGCAGTCCATAGCGGAGCAGCACTCTCACAGCGGGCTGATCCCAACAGGCCATGCCCCCCACCAGTGCATGAATCCCGTGCACTGGGCCTCTAGTCTAATATAAAAGCATGTGTGCTCATTCAAAAAAAGTCTCTATATAACAATCGTGTGAATGGATGCTCCAGAAGAAGGCATATCTGTGAATAGAGGAACACAGTCAAAATGGTGGTTGCCTATGACAACAGACAAACAGAATGGAGAAGGAGCCTTTCTCCCCTTCTCACTCCTCCATCACCCTCCCTGTGTGGACTGAGATAGGCCTTGTGGCACAATTTCCCATTCTGCTCAAGGCTCAGTACTGGTGTCCATTTTGATTCCAAGTCCCACAATCAAACTTCACATAGTCCATTCTCTAATTTAACAACATGTGTAAGAGAGATTAACTTAGAAAAGTTTGAATTCAAGACCAATATGGAGAAAATTTATTATTTGAAAAGCAGATAGCAAGTAGCCCCACTGTGTGGCTCAGTGGTTGAGTATAGACACATGAACCAGGAGGCCAGGGTTTGATTCCCAGTGTGGGCACATGCCAGGGCTGCCATATCAATCCCCAGTGGGGAGGAAGAGGTGTGTATGCAGGAAGCAGTTGATCAATGATTCTCTCGTCATCGATGTTTTGCTCTCTCCCCTCCTCTAAGATCAAAAAATATATTTTAAAAATAAAAATAAAAACCGACAGTATTTTGGTTAACAGCAACATTCACAACGGTTAGGTTCACTGAATATTAAAGAAGGAAGTTATGTTTTTCGAACTAGAAGAAAAGAGATTCCAGGATCATGGAAAGCATTTCTGCATCTCGTAAAAGATAGGAAAAACTGAGACCAAAACCTAATCCCATCAAATGTCTCAGCAACATATTACAATTAAAGACTAACTTCTGATGAGATAATGGTAAAGTTATACACAGAAGGGAGGTCAAAAAGAAAAAAGGCCTGGTACTCACCAGTTGTATCTCTGCCTTCTTGTTTTAGATACCTAAGCATAGCGCTCATGCTCCATTTGTTCCCATAATCCTCCACTTCTGGATCATCACAACTAAAATAAATTAATAGATCAAGGTCACATATGCAACTAGGCCTGGCTGTAGAAACAAAATTTTTTACAACTTCTACCTCATCACTTTTCCTTACACTTTTTTATTACATATCCCTTTACAGCAATTTCTTCCGCTGAAATGAAAATGCGTATAGCCTGCCTTTTTGAGGAGTGTAAGGGAGAAGCAGTTAAGTCTTCCTCAAACAATTATGCGTCATAAAAGAAATGTGTGAAATAATATTAACAAGTTTAAGAATGGTTCCAAAACATTAATAGATTGAAATATTTGGGTTGAAAATCTAGCCTTTGCTATAAATGTTATGAAGCCATAAAACCACCTCTGATACCATTTTCAGACCAAAATTGAGCCTGGATGGGTTAGTGAGATACATAGTGGAGCATTTTAATGAGAAACGAAGTACAGAGTTGCTTTAGCATATGAAGCAAGCTTCCTCCTCTCTGGTGACAGACATAGCTTTTTAAATATACCTTTTCATCTACCATTGAAGGAAAGGGAGATTGCACTAGAGCAACAATAAAAGTGATGCAGTGTACCTCCACAAAGCAGCAGGATGGCAAACGGGCAGACTCCCGTGACTGATGGAAAGGTCTTGCCATCTGGAACGTGTGTTTTGCCACTGCCCACTCATTGCCTATCAGTGCCCCACCACCACCAGTTACTTCTTTGCTCATCTTCCAAAATGAAGGCGATTTCTTCAACCAATTCTTAATACTGTCCACAGGATACTCAATGCAATCTACATAGCTCAGCAACCATTCAGATCCATCCCTTTCTCTGTCTCTTTCTCTTTCTTTCTTCCTTCCTTTCTTTCCTTGGACTTTGTAGGCATCTATTTTTAGTCTGAGTAGAAAGTAACTATTTGGGTTTATTTTTTTATTTTTCCACTTTCTGGCAAAATTATCAGAATTAAAGAAAACAGAGCAGAAAGAATATTTCCACACAGCTGGGCTGGTATTCCCTTCCACTGAATCCTTTTCTGAGATGGCCTCGTTTCTTTATTTAATTTATTCCTAAATTTTTCCCTCTTGATCATATAAGTATTTATTTTAGAAAAATGTAGAAAGTACATAAAAGCTCTGAGAAAAAAAAAAAAAGAAATCGCCCACCCGTAATTCCATCCACTACAGTTAACTGTTAACATTTTTGTGTCTGTCTTTCTAGTTTCCTTCCCCACTCCAGCACAAATAAACAGCTTTAGTTATCTTATATATTCAAAACAGGAACTGATTGCATGTAGTGTCTGGTAACCTGCTGTTTCCACCTGACAATGCACAGGGCGAACATTTGTGTCTCTGATCTTGTGTGCACATCCTTCGTTACTCCTTAAGGTTAAATTCCTAGAAATGGAATTGCTAAGTCAAAAGGCACAAGTGTTTTTAAAACCTTTGATACATTTTATCAAATGCTGAAATGAACTCATTTCTTGATTTCTAGAAAGTTTCACATGCGCATGAAATTTCCACTCTCAGCCAAAGTGAGGGAAGACAATGAGTGAGGAAGATGAAACTTGGGAAAGCATATTTTGGTAGAGAAAGTGACGCTGTTACTGTGTAAGCAATGGACAAGCAACAGCAGATATGCCTCAGAACTAGGGTAAGTGACTTAGCTTTTCACATGTTACATGGACATAAACATAATGTTTGCCTCCAGGGCAACATGTTGACTGCTGGTTCCACAGCACCCACATCTGAGACTGACTTCTCCAGCTCCTGGCTCTGGCGCAACAAATACCTGACATAGTCTCCGCTCTTCTTATTCACACTGTAATTTGTCAGGTGCATGAACTGGTTCCGAATGTTTTTGGCTCCTTGATCATATCGCACAGTTGCAAACCTGATAGAAAGGGATACAGGTTAAATGCCAGGAACAGGGTTTCAAGGAAATAAAGCCTAGAACACAGGAACAAGAAGATTTCAACAAAAAAAAAAGGATGACACCATTACTAAATGCTGAGTGCCAACATCCATGCTAAGTGTTTCGTATTTAACTCAATCCTTATAGCAACTCTCTTAATATTATTCTTAAATTTTTTAATCCTCACCCGGGGATATGTTTATTGATTTTTTTGGGGGGGAGGGGGGGAGAGAGAAGAAAAGAAAGAGGAAGAAGGAAAGGAGAGGAGAAGGGAGAGGGAGAGGGTGAGGGAGAGGGAGAGAGAGAGGGAGATATGAGAGAGAAACATCAAATGGTTGCCTCCCAATTGGGGATCGAACCCACAAACTAGGTATGTGCCCTGACTGGGAACTGAACCTGCAATCTTTTGGTGTATGGCATGACACTCTAACCAACTGAACCACCCAGCCCAGGCAATATTATATCTAATTTAAAAAAATATGTATCAAAACTAAAATGTGATCTAGAAAGATTAAATAATTTATACCAAATCACACTGACTAAAAAAACCCATGTTTTTAACCACAAGATGCTGTTCTTTCTTCTATAGAACCTTAGGAGGGATGAAAGGTGAAAACAGTTATTCACAGCCTGGGAAATTGTGTGTAGGATGCTGTGGAGTTGAGGCATTAGCTGGTCAAGAAACACCTAGTGAGTGCCCACAGAGTCTATGGAAAATATTAAGCAAAAAGAATAAAAGGACAGCATAATAATATATAGACTTAGAACTCATCTCCAAAGAAACAACAGAGCTGATCTATAAAGTTCATTTTAAGGAAATAATAATGTCGGCATCAATAGCAGACAAAGCCCATGTCTGCAGAATAGCATCAATATGAGCCCAGTGCAGGAGACTAATTCCTGAATTTGGAATGAAAGCAAAAGACAGAGAAATTAAACATGGAGTCCACTGAAAACAGAGCAGCAATTTGATATCCTGGACTTCTGTCAAAAGAAGACCAAAACGAAGTATACGTGCCTCTGAAGGAAATAACCAGGAAGGAGAAAACTTCCCAGTGATGCCCAACATCAACAAAAGGACACTTGAGTCGAATGGTTATGGTAAATATCAATGCCTGTTTACATACCACCACAACCATATCACCCTTCACTAAAGTGGTTTTCCCAAGAGGCGCATCCAAGTGTGTAGAAAAAAAATCCTCCAAGTCCATGCGTTTATTTTCATATGCTTCACAGATTATTTACATATGCTCACTCAGACTATGAAGTCAATATGAACTTTTTACCACATTAAAGGTCAGCGTTTTAAAACTGTCCTTTTCTCTACTTCTTCTCACCCACCCATCCAATATATCCACCTCCTAGTTCCCTGTACTAGAAATATATGAGCCAAAGAAACAGAAGGGCAAAAACAACAGCAGAAAAACCTAGGAAATGAAAATAAAACAAACATGAGGCCAGGAAGAAGGATGTAGACAAAGAGAAAATGCTGGCTAGGCATGAATGGCTAAGGCACAAGAGTTTGATGAGTACTAAGTCTATACAGAGAGGAAGCTCAAATTTCCCAGATACCACCAGTAGTCAGCACCTAACGTCGAGCCGTGTCACTCCATGGTGAATAAACCTTGCCTATATTTACCAAGCGACCTTCAGCAGACTTTATCTGAATTCCTGTAAGATGCAAAGGGGGGGGTCCATGCTGACCCCACAGAAGCTGCCTACCTCCCCTGGACATCACCTCCTGCCACCATCTCCCCAAAAGAATAATGATTTCAACGAAGGGAAAAGGCTATGCTTCAGAAGAAGAAAGTTTTTCATCTCTCCTAAATATGAGTACTGATCAAATTGGGCTAACAACACGAAAAGATTGGCACAATCCTGGTGATTAACTGAAACCCAACACATGTCATTCCTACACTCCTTTTTTTCAATAGGACTGCAGCTCTTTTTTCTTTCTAATCTTTCTTTTTGCTAGGGAATTTATATTCTGAACCCCAGCATAAGATTATTAATGTCAGAGTGGGTTTTTGTAGAGATAAAGAAGTGGCAAGAAGTAAAAATTAGAGAAAACAAAAACAAAAAATGTAATGTCTGTGGAAAAGTTACTCAAAAGAACAAAAGTGCTACCTTATTCATTTCACTTAGCCTGATGGGACATGTAGAAGACCGGACAGAAGGAAGGTAGATGTACATGCTCATCTTTCCCCCTAACCCAAAAAAATCTTACGGTTCTCTCTAAAATCCAGGTTACAGACCACATCCATCTCTGATCACCACTTGAAACTTTTCCTTCTTACCTGGTCCCATTAGTTTCAGATCTGGCACAAGAATCAAGTTCTGATTCACCTATGAAGGGTTTTCTTTGTTTTGTTTTTGGATTATTTGGCCAACTATTAAAAACCAGACCTTCCTTCCTGTACCCTAGTGACAACCACAGCTCACGTGAGGAAGATGGTGAGCAGGATGGGAAGGCAGCTCAGAGGTAGTACCAGGAGGTTATGTAAGCAGAGTAACCCAGGTGGCCCATAGGGTTCAAAGCTGACACAAGGAGGGCATCAGAGAGGGACAGAAACCAGGGAGGTCAGGAGACTGGCTACATACAAAGGAACTGAGTAAATAAATTTGTTGAAGAGAATAGGAATCATATTTCTCATTGTTGGAGAGGTTTTTTTTAAAAAGAAAAGGGAAAAAGCTAGAAAGATTCTTGTTCTGAACTAGAATTGGAGGTATTAGTATAAACTCATGCTTTTCAATACCAGGATATGGCAAAAATAGGTTTATAGTTGTTAGTATGGAAAACAATACAATAATTAATAAATAATAATAGAAGAATAAACTGTGTTTCACGTACTTACAACTGTAAACTACTTTTATCTCACCCTGTATACAGATAAGAGACACAGATGTGGAAATATATATGTAAATGTGTATGTATATGTACCTGAATGTATACATATTCTTATTTTCTAGGTTTGTCCATTGCAAGGACCTGAGAGCAGAGACAGCCCAGAGCAATGAGCATATCTAGCACCCAGATGATGACTCCTGAATTCTACTCTCCATTAACAGCCACCAGTGCTGCCCTGGTGGTGTGGCTGTTGGTTGGGGGTTGTCCCAAGCACCACAAGGTTGCTGGTTTGATTCCTAGTCAGGGCACATGCCCGGGTTGCAGGCTCGATCAATCCCCAGTGGGGAAGGGTGTGTGTGCAGGAGGCAGCCAATTAATGTTCTGCTCTCACATTGATGCTTTTCTCTCTCTTTCTCCCTCTCTCTTCCTCTCTCTCTAAAAGTCAGTTTTTAAATCTTAAAAAATTAGGGCAACCAATGCTCCTTAGAAAATATGGTTGATTCCAGGACTGGGACAAAGAACAAGATGAACTTGAAACATTTTGTGCTCAGAGAATAAGGGAACATGTCAAAATAATACAAAAGCCAGTTTAAAAGGGTCCCCATTGTCCAAATCTGGGGCAATTTGAGCATCAAAATAAATCATAACAGTAAAGAATTATAACCCATTAAATAAAATAGGGATCCTTGAGTCCACATTGGTATATATAAATAAATGGGAAGAGGAGAAAGCTCTTTCTTAAGAGTAAAATGCTAAACAATAAACGTAAAAAAAATTATGGAGAAAGTCATTTAGCTACCATCATAGTAATAATTCATTCAAGCAAGAAGCATAAATGGATATTAAAATTATTAGGTGAAAATGAAATGAGGAATAAGATTCTACATGCTCTCAAAGTATTTACTCAAAATGTACAGTATTTATTAATTACAGAGGGAGAAACAGGTTAAATTTATAGTGGAAAAATCTGCCAGGTACCATTTTAATCATGTGGTCAAATACCACTAAATAGTTATCATGTGTTATCAGACATAATGCAGTGAGAATACAGCATCACTATTTTGGCATTCTGGCCAAAAATACATAATCTGAGTCTAATCATAAGAAAATATCAGACAAACCCAAATTGAGAGACATTCTACAAAATGACTGGCCTGTAATCTTCAAAAACACTAACGTCATGAAAATCAAAGAAAGACTGAGGAACTGTTCCAACCTAAAGGAGATGAAAGAGACATGACAACTAAATACAACATGTGATCCCAGATTGGATCCTTTTGTTAAAAAGAACATTACTATGGCAGTTAAAAATTCTGAATATGGACTCTAAATGAAAAGGTAAAAGGCTATTCTTCTATGATAATTTTACAGCTTTTGTATAAGTTTGAAACAATTTCAAAATTAAAAACCTACAATCAAAGGTATGTTTCTCAATAAAAATATAGATTTTTCAGCTACTGTTAAAAACACACATAAAAGATCTGGCAATATCACCACCTCTCTTAGTCCTTCGGGGCTCCTATAACAAAATACCATAAACGGTGTAGCTTATAAAAAACAGGAAGTTACTTCTCACAGGTCTAGAGGCTGGAAGTCCAAGATCAAGATGCAGGCAGGTAGATGGCACCTTCCTGCTGGGTCCTCACATGGTGGAAAGGGTGAGCAATCTCTCTGGGGTCTTTTTGTAAAAGGGCACTAATCACATTCATGAGGGCTCCACCCTCATGACGTAATCACCTCCCAAGGTCTCACCTCCTAAGCCCATCACCTTTCAAGCTATGAGTTTGGGTGCTGGAGGACACAAACATTCAGAAAAATTCATGAATCAAGAGAAAGCTGAGACTCAGAAGGGCAGCAATAGAAGAATTAGGAAAGCTTACTAAGAGCAAAGATATGTCATTGGAGACCAAGACTGAGATCATCCACACCTTTGCATTCCCAATTACTATGTACGAATGCAAAACTGGATAGTGAAGGTTACTAGGGGGAAAAAAAATGATTCATCAGAAATATGGTGTTGAAGGAGAGCTCTATGAATACACTGGATTGTCAGAAAGACAAACAAGTGGGTCCTAGAGCAAATTAAGCCTGAAACATTGCTGGAGGCAAAAATGGTAAAACTGAAGTTATC